CTCATTAACTTTCACAGAAGTTTTGTGAGGTGAGTCCTTTTTAGGTGATGCATAGACTCTGAAGGTGAGCAGACTCAGGCTGGCTGGCCCCACAGACCTCTGAATTACCTGAAACACAGAAGCAATCTTAAGCCTTCTGTCAGTGCAATAAACTGAATGTGCATAACGTGAGTACATTTATTGCGCTTTATGAGAAACAGATGTATTCCTGAAGTTTTATGGAAGTCAGAAACTAAAAAACGTGTACTCACAGACTTAAAATTTCAGGTCACCTTCACCTTAATTTCCAAGACAGTAGTTCTTAAGTTTTTCTACTTAGCCTGTCAAGTAAAATAAAAGGTACATACAAAGACACATGTGCGCACTTTTAAAAATAACAGAGAAATGCTATGGAATGATTTTAAAATTATAAGAGTCTCGATCTCTCTCACACACATACACACCCCCCCACCAACAACAGTGGAAGAGGTTTCTAATGATTCGCTGAACAGAGTGAAGATTATTTCTGTGATTCTAATTACCAAACTTTCACAAGCTTTCTCTTTCCATTCCCATTCAGAGCTGGTCTCCCCCAATCTAAGTTCCCCAGCTCAGTATCTTTTCCTGCCTTGCCCTCCCTCACTGGGTCACTCACACCCAGGGCTGCAATGCGAAGGCAGTACCTCCCAGATGTGCAGCCCCAGCCCAGAGCTCCCTCCTGAGCTCCCAACTCACTATCCAATTACTCCTGGACATTTCTACTTTTCTACAAGCCATGTCCAAAATCAACTCATCAGGATTTTGACTGCGCCTCCAAGTCCACACTTGGCCTGATGGGTGGGTATGTGCTATGGAATCAAGTCAGAAGGCTTTATTTTCAATAATAATCCCCTACCTTTACACAGCACTTGACCATCCAGCATCTTTCCCCCAGACCTGCCCCTTCTTCCTCTACTTCCTCTCAGGCATGGTGCCACCACTCAACCAGACAAGCCGGTCAGAAGCTCTGAGGTCATATTCACCACCACCCTGCCCTATCGGTCAGTAAGTCCTGTTAATTCTAACTGTTCAATAATCTCAATTCACTCTCCCCACTTTATCTCCTCCTGTACAATCTTCCCTTGGGCCCTCATTTCTTGGATTGTTTCCAGCAGCATTCTAACGGCTCACCTGGCCCTCTGATGACTCGAACCACCACAGTGCAAAAGAATGATCTTTCTAAACTGCAAATTGATTATCTTCTACCCTTCGAGATCCTTCGTTATTTATTATCTAGGACTTCTATGCGGGCCAAACATGGCCCATTATGATGCGACCCCAACCACCTTCTTTCACCTCATCTCTGCCACTCTGCCTTCTCCCACAACACACGAACTCCCTAGATTTCTCCCATGCTGTTGCCCAGCTTCCTGGGTTTACACATGCTGCTTGCTCTACCTGGAATGTCCTATCCTTGCTTTGTCTTTCTGTACAACTGCCTATGAGCAAGGAGATATATTGCATTTTTCTTTTCTTTTCTTATTTATCCATTTATTTATGTCTATCAAGTTCTCCCTACCAGATTGGAAGACCTTTCACGATGCTGCCATGTCTTACTTGGTCTCCCTACTGCCCCTGCCTGTGCCTAGCACAAAAGAAATATTCACTAACTGTTTACTGCCTGCATGAATGGATGGAAGAGAGGTGGAAAATAAATGAGTGGCTGACTTGTTCTAACTCTGTAGGCATGCCTTAGCATCATGGAAATCATATAACTGAGATTTGCAATGCCTGCATTGTGAAAGACTAGGCTATTCCATAATACTCAGAAAACATATAATGCTAAATAAAACATAACAAAATGTCTGTTGTAATGTATGCCTGGAGTTACACACAGAAAGGGAAATTCCTACTTCAGAAGCAAATAAAGAGCTAGAAGCTATTTAAAGGAGTGGCTATGACTTTAAACTGGTTTAAAAATAATTAACATAACCTGAAGGAGTAAGTGTTCATCTTGAAAGGACTTAATTTCAAGGCAATATTGCTACAAATTTCTTTTGTTTCCAGGGTAAAGGTTAACCAGCTATTGCTGACAGTCAGTGTGGTCCCTCCTGGCACCCCAGGAGAGGGGCCTATAAGGCTGCTGGTATCTGGAGGTGCCAACTCAGTACTCTGCCCCTGAGTCTGTCCACAACCTACTGACAACACTGCTTTGAACTGGGGACTTTACACTGAGCCAGCTAGCCCTACTCTGGACTTTAATCCCCTTCCTTATCAGCAAGAGCCGGTGCCTCACCCTTTCCCACTCCCCATCCAGCATGGCAGCCCCCAAGCATTTGGGGTTCATACTGTCCTCTACCTTCATCATTCTTTTTTAAAAAATTTTATTTGAGAGAGAGGGGAGGGTGAGAGAGGGAGAGAGAGAGAGACAGCACACAAGCAGGCAGAGGGGCAGAGGGAGAGGGAGAAGCAGGCTCTCCACTAAGCAGGGAGCCCGATGCGGGGCTCGATCCCAGGACCCTGGGATCATGACCTGAGCTGAAGGCAGACGCTTAATGACTGAGCCACCCAGGTGCCCCTACCTTCATCCTTCTTTGATATAATGCCTTATGCTGACCTTTTTAATTCTCAGTTCCTGCTTTCGATCCTTAATCCTATCTACTTCTCACATACTTCGTTTTTCATTTCGTATTCTTCTGTTGTTTTAACTCAGATTTCCACTTTTCCTGTTCTTAGTGATTATTTTCACTCCCTTTCATCTTTTCTTTTCAATCTCAACTTATTCAGTGTTTAAATGTAACATTTTATTGGACTCTTGATTACTTTTACTTTATTTTTCCCTTTCATCCACTTTTCTTATTTTAATATTAAGTAAAGCCTGGTCCTCGATTGCTCAAATTGTTTTCTTCTTCTTCTCCTGTCAGTCTTCCGCCCCCTCAAAAGCCACCCCCACTCCCATCCCACAACAAGAACTATGGCCACAAGGGCGGGAGCACCCAAGAAAGCTCCCTCCTGCAAGCTGCCCTTTCAGCTTCCCCAAGGCTCTCAACAAATAAAGAAAAAAATAAACCTCACCCCAGAAGACTTGGGAGAACTACAGATTAACACTCCCTAGGGCCACAATTCTCTCCGCAGAGAGCACATAATTTACTTCAGGGTTTCTCAATCTCAGCAATATTAACACTTTGGCCTGGATCATTCTTTATGTGAGGGCTGTCCTGTGCACTAGACGCTTCTTGACATCCTTGGCCTCTACCCACCAGATGCCAGTAGCACCCCTCCCAGTCATGACTCAACACCGTGTCTCCAGACACTGCCAAAGACTCCTGGGAGGCATCTCCCCCGCCTCACTCTGCATTAAGAAGCACTGATTTGCCTAAATATTATTTTCTGACATCTCTCATCACCCAGACTTCAAGAAAATTGGGATGTTTTAAAATCCAGGGCCTCAGATCTAATACACAGTGATAGAAATTAGAATAGTCTTGCCTGGGGGGGGGGGGTGAAGCGTGGAGAGGGGATGGACTTACTGAGAAGGAGCACGAAGGAACTTTCTGGGATGACAGAAATGATCCATACCTCGATCGGGGTATGGGTTACAGAAGGTGTACATACATTTGTTAAAACTCTAATTGTAAGATCTGTACAACTTAACATCTGTGCATCTCACTATACATAAACTATATCTCAAAAAATCCATGCACACCTAAACTGCACAAGTTCA